TAACGAATGCCAATATTGTTTTGACAGTTCAATCCCGTATGGTTTCAGAGCTTTTACTAATAGTGAAAATTTCTCGAAATTTCTAAAGTGTCTTAATTTATATGTTTACTACTCTCTCTTTTTTTACGAATAGCCTTAAGTCTATGTAAATTAGACATATTCGCCATCGTTTTGTATCAATTGAAATCCACCTTCAGGTCATTCTCTCTCTCTCTCTCTCTCACACACACACACACACACACACACACACACATATATATATATATATATATATATATATATATATATATATATATATGTGTGCGTGTGTGTGTTCCTCTCGTTCCGTATGGAACATAGGGCTCCTTTTAATGCCGCATTCAAGGAGTTTCAGTGGGAATTTAGATTAACAAGCGATTCCCCAACCCGCATGCATACACACTTTTAGGATAGTGCGATCCTGTTTTGAATTCAAAGCTTCCCTCTCCAAATATGGTTGCTACCCAAGACTATAAAACATAGTCTGCTATTTACCCATAGCTGGGAGTGGGGGAGAAGAGATGGATTCATTAGCAAATACTGCATTTCGAACTTGAATTTCCATACATCCATTATATATATATATATATATATATATATATATATATATATATATATATATATATATATAAAAAAGAAAGAGGTTGTAGTGGTTCCAACGAGAGAAAAGTATGTATATTAAAAAGAAGAGAAGAGAGGTGCCGCAAACGTTTTTGGTTGTAATGTGGATTTATTTAGGAAAAAAATATGCTTTGTTTTACATAATTTTACGACACGTGTTTCTGGTCTCGCTTTCAGGTAAAAGCGGAGATTTCCACATATTATTAAAAATAATTATTTTTTTCCTTATGTTCAATGTTAAATATTCTCGATATGAGACATTCTCTGTTTTTGTGTTAGTAATCCGAATTTCTTTCTTTCAAGAGCCTCGTCCGGGTTCCTCTCTGCTCAGAGGCAGAGAGTGCGACCGTCAAGCCGAAAAGCTTGACTTGATTCGGTATCTAGCCACCCTCCCACGAGGGTTGCATGTGGCACAAGGCCGAGTTTTACGTGGGTTTCCCGAGCCCGTAGGCTCGGCCAAAATATACCCGTAGAACCTGTATAAACGGGATCGGGTTGGTCAACCTCCCCAAACGAGACTCTGCCCTTCGGCGGAGCCTCCTCCGGGTTCCTCTGCTCAGAGGCAGAGAGTTCGACCGTCAAGCCGAGAAGCTCGGCTTGATTCAGTATCTAGCCACCCCCACGAGGGTTGCATGCGACACAAGGTCATTTTTTCCGTGGGTTTCCTGAGCCCGTAGGCTCAGCCAAAAATATGCCCGTATAACTCGTAAAAACGAGATAGGGTAGGTCATTCACCCCGAACGAGATTCTGCCTTCGGCGGAACCTCGTCCGGGTTCCTTTCTGCTCAAAAAGCAGAGAGTTCGACCGTCAAGTCGAGAAGCTCGGCTTGATTCAGTATCTAGCCACCCCCCACGAGGGTTGCATGCGACACAAGGTCATTTTATCGTGGGTTTCCTGAGCCCGTAGGCTCAGCCAAAAAATATGCCCGTATAACTCGTAAAAACGAGATAGGGTAGGTCATTCACCCCGAACGAGATTCTGCCCTTCGGCGGAACCTCGTCCGGGTTCCTTTCTGCTCAAAAGCAGAGAGTTCGACCGTCAAGTCGAGAAGCTCGGCTTGATTCAGTATCTAGCCACCCCCACGAGGGTTGCATGCGACACAAGGTCATTTTTATCGTGGGTTTCCTGAGCCCGTAGGCTCAGCCAAAAATATGCCCGTATAACTCGTAAAAACGAGATCAAGTCGAGAAGCTCGGGTTCGGTATTCACCCCGAACGAGATTCTGCCCTTCGGCGGAACCTCGTCCGGGTTCCTTTCTGCTCAAAAGCAGAGTTCGACCGTCAAGTCGAGAAGCTCGGCTTGATTCAGTATCTAGCCACCCCCACGAGGGTTGCATGCGACACAAGGTCATTTTTTCGTGGGTTTCCTGAGCCCGTAGGCTCAGCCAAAATATGCCCGTATGACTCTGTAAAAACGAGATCAGGGTAGGTCATTCACCCCGAACGAGATTCTGCCCTTCGGCGGAACCTCGTCCGGGTTCCTTTCTGCTCAAAAGCAGAGAGTTCGACCGTCAAGTCGAAAAGATCGGCTTGATTCAGTATCTAGCCACCCCCCACGAGGGTTGCATGCGACACAAGGTCATTTTTATCGTGGGTTTCCTGAGCCCGTAGGCTCAGCCAAAAATATGCCCGTATGACTCGTAAAAACGAGATCAGGGTAGGTCATTCACCCCTGAACGAGATTCTGCCCTTCGGCGGAACCTCGTCCGGGTTCCTTTCGCTCAAAAAGAGCAGAGTTCGACCGTCAAGTCGAAAAGATCGGCTTGATTCGACCCTCTCTCTTGAGAGGCGTAGTATACATAGTGTTAGGAAGAGTTCATTATGTAGTTATAGGTAAGGACCCATGACAATAGACTGACTATGAAGGAGTGATTCTAGAGCTGTGAGATCTTGTATACATTAATTTCAATTCTTCTTATTAATAACTGCATTGTTTTATTTCAGGTAAACTGACATCTAACTGTTCAAAGAAGACTTCAATATGTGTTATGAAGACTAAACGCCAAGGAAAGAGGGTTTGTTTTATCAGGATAACTCTCCGATACAAAAACTTTTGATTTCAATGGCTGTTGTGTGTGACTTTGTCTTTGAACTGGTTGATCACCTTTCATATTCTAATTTTAACCATCATCTATTCCCCAACATGAAAACATCATTTGGCTGGGAAGCATTATTACAGTGATGATGATGATGTCATATCTGTTCTTAATGACATTTCTGACCAACCGGATGAACAGTCGTCTTTGAACAGTTTAGATGTAAGTTTACCTGGATATAAAGAATGTAGAAGAGATGAAATTAATACCTGCATTATTTCACAGCCCTAGAATCACTCCTTCATAATCAGCCTATTAAATTTTCAACCGACACCTGTATGTAAGATTAATCCAGTTTTCGTACTGGGCGCAAACCGCCAGCATAAGAATAGAAAATGAATTAAGTTACCAAAAATTGATGCGGGTTCTTGATGTGGGATACTTAAAATGGATAAATGGTATTTATTTCTATTAAATCAATTTTTCTATTTTGTATGCATATTTAGTTATTATGCATCTGTGTACAGTTTATTATAAGAAAAGTATGTTTATTCAATAGTTGGAAATACAATAAATTAAAAATTTGTATGTGTACGAATATTTGCTTCCCCCCACTGTGTGTGTGTGCATATATATATATATATATATATATATATATATATAGAGAGAGAGAGAGAGAGAGAGAGAAACGAGATAGAGAGAGGGGATATCAATAAATAGTTTAGCACACTTTTACCAATGGATGTAAGAATGTATATGTAATACATGTGGTTAAACATACATTACGACGTACTTGACGGGTTATTTTATACACAGATGATCCAATCTGAAACCTTGGGTCGTGGTTCATCAATCTGCATCAGTCTGGTGCTAAATATGGTAGCAACCTTTTTTTCTAAAATGGGAGTATTCGCATAGTACTTCAAACATGACATTTAACATATTCGGCTCTGGATACGGTCTTTTAGTCAGCTTCTCATTCCTACAAAAGTCTTCAAAATTATCACCATTTCTGGAACTAAATTTTATAAATTTTACACTTAACTGCTGGGGTTTCCGTGCATTTCTTTTTAAATGGTTTGTTATTTTATTTTATAATATTTTAGATTAATATATATATATATATATATATATATATATATATATATATATAGAGAGAGAGAGAGAGAGAGAGGAAGATAGATAGATGGATAAATATGTGGATATAAACCAAATAATTAGATATTAGTAACTGTATATGCATGCGTTAGCGTGCATACATGAAAATTTACCTTATTTAACATAAGGTGTAAACAAAACAGCTCTTGTGTGTGTTCACAGGACTACATAAAATTACCCGGCGGTGGTTCTGACAGCGCCAAAAATTGGAAAAACACAATTGTTTTTGCACGAAATCAATTTGAAAGCACGGGTAAGAGCCATTTATGCAGATTTTTTGCAGTCTTTGGACGATGTTTTGTTACCGAGCCACCAAAACAAAGCAAATGTTCCAGTTTCTGATAGCACTAACGCTTGGTTATATAACAAGTACCAAATTGTTTGCAAGACTGTCAAAGCCACTTAACCAGGGAACCATAAACGGGGGTACCAAGGGACAGGATTTAGCCCTCTGAATACACATTCACTGACACAGTATGTACAGTTTTGGTTTGATTCAAATGAAATTTACGACACACTTGCGGCTTACTATCGCCTTTATGTGTGTCAAATTTCAGAATTTTTCGGCAAAAATAACCGTAGCTGCACGCGGATCAATCTTTTTTGTAACTTCTTTACACACACACAGTTGCGAACAACCGAGTCCGCGTGTCGATACTGAGACTGCTGCAAGCCCATTGGTCGCTTTCACAGAGCTTGGCCTTGGGGCCTGTCCAATCATCGCGCAGGATTTATCACACGTTATAGCGCCTGCGTGATCGCGCGTCAGCCTATGTGTAAGTGCGCTCAAGATCAACCACCTCTATTGCGTGACTCGTACGTGCTTTCACAATTTTGCGTTTATTGTTGCCCGCGTGCTTACTTTATTCGCCTATTCGGACCCCGCAAGTTGTTGATTACGTGTTCTAGCTGCTTTTTTGTTTTATAGTTCCAACCCAACCCCACACACGTTAGCCAATTGTACTAAAAACCCATTTCCTTTTGGATTTACCCTTGGTTTACCTTTTTAAATGTCCACTTTTTTAGTTTCGAGTTTCCCTTTAGTAACATCTGAACTCATTTTACTGGGTATTCCCCTTTTTGTGTCTAGCAGTGCACGTTTTTTCGTTTTGGATTTGTCGAAATCTCTTTTTAAGCTTTACCCTCTTTGACGTTTTCACTGTTTGGATGGTACCTAAAAGGAGGAAACTTTTGGGACGGCGCACGGCAGCTGCCTCCGCTGCTACAGCAGCGAGGGCGAGTGAAACCCCTGAACAGACTTTTTTGCGTTTTTCACGGATGGCCTCGAGCTCAGCTGCTCGCTTACCTACGGAAAGCGCTGCTGCGTGGACTGAAAGATTGTCTTCAGCGGCTTCAACCATGTCCGCACGCCGCGCCAGGTTTTCATTTGAAGAACGTTCACTTCAGAATTCACAGGACGCAGTCCACGTGGCTAGGTTGAGGGCTTCACAGTCCCCAGCACAGAAAACCCTTCGTCGTTTGCGTGATGCCATCGTCAAAGCTTGCTCCAGGAGTTTAGAAAGCCCCGAACAAACAACTTCACGCCGCCTCCAGAGCTTAGGAACAACCCAAGGAAACCGCCCATCGTCGCTATCCACCGCGTCTGCTAGAGCCCTAGAAAGCCCTGCACAAACCACTGTTCGTCGCGTTAGAAATGCCCGCTCTACTGCGTCTGCCAGGGCTGCAGAAAAGTCTGAAGTACGCCGTCAACGGCTCGAAAACATTAGCAACTTCGAGCTTCTTTGAATGGCGTAACTTCGCCGTCAGCGTCATTTTGGTCAAATGCCGCATACAATTATGACTGCACTGCCAACTATTCCTCTAGGAGAGACGTACAAATAGGGGCCATGGATAAAGTTTGCGCTTTTTGCAACGCAAAAAAGTGGGCCGGTTAGTAACCTGGGCTTTGTTGCTCTAGGTGGAAAATCAAACTCCTTTCTTTAGACGAACCTCCCCAGCCGCTTAGGGACCTCATTCTGGGTACAACTTCGGAGTCAACGCATTTTCTTGAAGCAATACGGAAGTACAACTGTTGGGGGGGGGGGGCGGTTGGATGCCTACTTTCAAAGTGCAAGGCCACTTAATGGGATCACTTCAGTTCCTACAAATTTACTTTCTTGCTGACTACAACGAGCAGGTTGAGGCGCGTCTCGGCATTCTGCCTAGCGATATTTCCGTCGGTCCCCGTAGAGACATCCTGTTCCGTCTACAAGACATGCTTTACGAAACTAACAGTTACATCCGAAGCTTAAAGTTTGCGTTGCAAAACAACCCTTCGCCCTCTTTCAGCGTTGTCATCGATGCAGACAGACGGCCGCACGGTGAGCATGAGCGTCGCTTCAATGCTCCTGCATGTAATGAAGTCGCCGCAGTCATCCACGGTGTGGAGCATAACAGCCGTGACATTGTCATAAGGTACCGGGGCGGTGGTCTGCGACGCATCAGTGAAAGCCACCGTTCATACGACTGTCTTTTTACGGAAGCGATGGGTACCACTTCAAAATCCCAATATACCAGGCAAACAGCGGTTCCATGTCGACCTCAAAGACGGTCTCCTGTAGGGCTTACTACGCCAACATGTTTATGGTTAGAGAGGGTGAATTTAACCACGTGCACAGGTGCCGTCAACTGTTTCTTCAATTCGCTGTTGACATGGCTGCAAAAATGGAGTCGGAGAGGTTAGGATCCATCAAGTTAAACCAATCCAAACTTAGAACTGACTCCTACATTCACCTTCGTGATGGTCTGCGTTCTGATGGTGACCCACGCAATCTCGGCAAATCGTGCATTTTGCCTTCCTCTTACACTGGTGACCCTCGATACATGCATGAAAGGACACAAGACGCAATGACCTATGTCCGTCATTACGGGAGGCCTGATTTGTTCGTCACGTTCACGTGCAATCCGAAATGGGTTGAAATCACACGCGAACTTTTTCCAGGTCAGCAGTACTCACACCGCCCTGACCTAATTGCCCGCGTTTTCCGGTTACAGCTGTGTAAGCTTATGGATTTAATCATTAAAGGGCAAGTCTTCGGACGCGTTAAGTGTCATATGTATACAGTGGGATGGCAGAAACAAGGTTTGCCTCATGCCCACATTCTGCTGTGGCTCAACGATAAGGTTGACGCAAACAAAATAAACGATTATATTCCTGCTGAAATTCCGGAACCTGCGCTGCATCCTTTACTTCACGAAATCATTAAAAACAATATGATACACGGCCCCTGTGGCGCCAATTACGAAAAAAGGTCATGTTGGTCAAGCGGCCCCACTTGTGCAAAGGGTTATCCCCGTAAGTTTATCTCAGAAACGCAGACTGCGACGAATGGTTACCCACTGTACAGATATACAAGCCCCGCGGAGGGCGGCAGAACTGTGACAGTTAAGGGGCACATTCTGGACAATCGTTGGGTGGTGCCTTATTGCTCGCTGCTGTCCAAGACTTTTGGAGCCCACATAAACGTTGAATACTGCCACTCGGTTAAGTCAATAAAGTACATCTGCAAGTACATTAATAAAGGCAGCGATGCTGCCGTTTTCGGTATCCGGCGCGACAATTGCGTTGACGAGGTGGCCGAGTACGTGGCTGGACGCTACCTCAGCAGTAGCGAGGCCTTTTGGCGAATTTTCGGATTCTCCATACACCTACGGGCTCCAGCCATTGTACAGCTTGCTGTTCACTTAGAAAATGAACAGAGGATGTACTTCACCGAACAAAACGCCCAGAAGGTTGCGGAAAACCCTAAAGACACAACCCTAACGGCTTTCTTTAAATTATGCTCAACAGATGCTTTTGCCAAAACATTGATATACCCCCAAGTCCCGTCCTACTACGTGTGGTCAAACAACCGGTGGGTTCGGCGAAAGGCTGGCGACCCTGTCGAGGGTTATCCCGATGTAAGTGCTAATTCTTGCCTTGGACGCGTTTATACTGCCCCCAACCCCCCCCCCACCAGCAGGAGTGCTTTTACCTCCGCCTTCTACTTCATGAAATTGCTGGGCCAATGAGTTTCACAGATATTCGCACTGTCAACGGCATAGAGTGCCAGTCTTATAAAGAGGCATGATTCCGTTTGGGATTGCTTGAAGACGACTCCCAATGGGATGCAGCCATGGCGGAGGGTGAACTTCCCAGAACGCCATCACGACTTCGAACGCTGTTCGCCATTTTGCTTTTGCGATGCGAACTAAGCGATCCTCTGTCGCTCTGGCTAAAGTACAGAGAATCCATGTCAGAGGATGTGCTGTTCTCCGTTCAGCGTAACAGCCCAGGAATTGAATGCGGTTTCACTGACATATTGTTTTCGAACTGGGAGGTGCCTCTTTACCAACTGACGGTTTACCACCACTGCTCAGAGACGCTTTTGACACTGTACCAACTGAGTTATTGCGGGAAACATCCTACTCCATCGAGGGGCTGAACGCATACATTACCGAAAACGAGCCCAAACTTCTACCTGATCAGAGGGTTGCTTTCACTATCATAACAGACAGGGCAAACGGCTCCAGTGGAGGTATATACTTTTTAGATGCGCCCAGAGGAACTGGCAAAACTTTTGTTACTAAATTAGTCCTGGCAGAGGTACGGCGTCGTGGGGAGATCGCTATGGCGGTCGCATCTTCCGGAATTGCTGCAACGTTGCTACCGGGAGGTAGAACCGCTCATTCGGCTTTTAGGTTGCCGCTTGATCTATGCCGGTCACAAACTCCTCTCTGCAACATAACAAAGAATTCGCCACGGGCTGAAGTTCTGCGGAGATGCAAACTTATAGTTTGGGATGAGTGCACGATGGCACACAAGGCGACCATTGCAACTGGCTGCGGCAAGGGGGAAGTCGTTCTGATTCCCAGGATGCATCTGTCGTCAGACGCAAGCATACCAATCAACTTTCGTCGCTCACAATTTCCCGTGAAGCTTTGCTTTGCTATGTCCATTAACAAATCATAAGGATAGACGCTTATCATCGCAGGTCTGCATTTCCGTGAGCAGTGCTCCTCTCACGGCCAACCTTACGTTGGGTGCTCACGAGTTGGGTCTAAGGACAGGGTTTTCATTTACTCTTCCAACAACTGAACAACTAGAAACATAACATACACGGAGGTCCTGTAGACAACCGGTAGCGTTTAAGCGCCATGCACACATATGCAATCCGATTGCATGGCAATTTTTTTGTTTGTCATATTGGTTTTAACGTTAAGTCATCGTAGTCTCCACTTGCCATTACTAAGACATCTTTGTAAAAGTTATCCAGCTCTTTTGTTGCCTTCTGACTTTCATATCTTCACACGCCATCATCACGTTTGTTTGTACACTATGATAACCTCAACGTATTCAGTTGCAACACAAGCTGCTAGACACATGAACACCGGCATTAGACATCATTGCTCCACTAAAGATCCGGTTTCATTAACAGTTGATCGGAGCACCTGAAGTTCGTACCAGTGCATACAAGCACATTCACACTTGAGAAGCTTCGGAGTTCGTTTAATTGTCACAAAAGTCGATTCCAGTAATGCTTAACAGTCCAATTGGTTAAAGCAGTAACTGCTGCCAGCTTTTACTCACAGATGTCTTAGTAATGGCAAATGACTGATGCTACAACGGCTTTCCGTTACTTCCTTCGATACCTTCGAATACTTGGGCCTGCATGATGTCTGCTTAAACTTTGTGTGCATTGCGTTTCAACGTTTTGTAGAAACTTAGTTCCTGTCGACTTACAAAGCACATCTTTCAAAGCAACAGCCGTCCTCTTACTGTTACATCCCCGGGCCACGCCGGGCTTCACTGAAACATAATGGCGAGACAAAATTTTATTTCGGTTCCACAACCAACAATTGGAAAAGGAGATATTATTACCATAACATGACTCTTAGCAATAAGCAATATGCAAATGCAACGGCACTCTCAAAATTTTACTGGGATATTAAAACAGATGACTACACACCGGTAGTAAATTTCGTCGCCAAATCTACACACTTTTCCGGTCGCCGCGATTGATGTAACCAGTGTTTGTTGGAAAAAATTCATTCTCAAAAATATAATTGACCGAAACCTACTTAACGAACGTCATGAACTTAAGATAGCTTGTAATCACAGGAAGAAAAGTCCCTTAAAGTATTTTAATTCTGGATAGACCAGTTATCCAAATATTACATGCCCATTGCATATTTTTGATTACCTCCCTTTAACCATTTAAGCGTCTATTAAACTTAACCATCTACACAGCGTTCTTCTTTTCTTATTTAAACTTTAAGTTTGCATCTTTTCTTTTCAATATCCCCCTATCTACACACTAATTTTGAATTTACTCTCCTATAGTATATTAAGTTTATATTAATATTGAGCTTTGAACCTGCGTTTAATTTAACGTTCCTCCATGAGATCCAATAATAATTCACCAGTTCGCGGAAAAACATGGGAAAACCGTGATACTTTAAACGTGTACTGTATATATATATATATATATATATATATATATATATATATATATATATATATATATATATATAAACTCATTTAACTCCACCGAAGACTTCAATGAAGCAATAGTACAACTGAAGAACTCTCATGACGATCAACAAGCTGAATACATTCAGGAAACATTCGACTCATCAACTCTGCTGCCACCAAAAAAACAAAAAAAAAAAAAACAATCTGCTCTCGCATGGAAAACTGTCAACAAGATCAGTAGCAGAAAGGCCAATAGTCAGACTGAATAAATGGCAAGACCACTTTAAAAATTCTCTTGGGAAATGTAGCTGACATTTTAGATACTAAGGTCGAGCAAATCGTTAATCTTTTACTTTTGTGTGAAAAAAGAATACATATTTTTGCGTGAATTCGGATTGTAGGAATAAACTACTTGAAATCAGATGCATTCATATTAAGTTGAGTGCTGGATTGATTTGAAAATAATGAAAACAAATGTTGTGTAAATCAAAGTTGCATTGAAAATGTTGTTTCTTACTGTTGTCTGCTATCATTTAAGTCAATTTCGCTTGATGTTAGGGAATATAAGGTGTTTCTTTACGGTCGCAAGCTCAAAGGAAATGATGTGGCTGCTGTCTTTTGTATCATCTGATCATTCTGTGTCTAGCTATGTCATTAAGTGTCTTTTAAAAGATCGACCTCTTAAAAATGGAATAGATAGATGTGTTGTTTTTAAAGTTTTTCATTAGCTGAAAAAAATATTTATTTTTGGTTTTGATTAACGTAAAGCTGATTTTGAATACTGCGTCGTGCTGGACATGATTTATTATGATTACATTGGATTTTAATTTCAAATGTATTTTAAGTCGTCAGATTGAAAACTTACATTAGAATATTTAAAAGGTTCTGACTTCCTCTCCTCCTCTCAGAGGACTGTGGAAATTTAGTTCATGTTATTTCCTTCGCCAAATATTTTCTCTTTGTTTCAATTACTATCTACTATATTTTTTGTCCACTATTTTTTAATCAAATATTGTTCGGAGTTCACACATTTTGTTTTACATTTGTAGAAACAACAAAGCTTTTGTGAAACAGTTTGAAAAAATATATGCGAATAATACATATTTTATAATATATGAATTTTGTGATATTTCTGGAACAAAATTTATCCTGATTTTATAAATGAAGAAACACTGGTCACAATCGTAAAATAATATTCTGTCAAAGCATAATGCCACATAATTTTCACGTGAGAAATTTGTTTGGGTTTTATAAATGAAACGGCTGACAATTGAAAGTTGTCTTGAATAAAATATAACGACATTATTTTCTAAAACATCTTAACATCAACTGATTGAAGTGTACAGCACACTATGAAGACTAGAAAGATCAGTGAATATTTCACGGTTTCCCCACATAAATTTTCTGATGAATCTTAATTCTTAATTCTGAATGATTATATGAGTTTACGCCGAGTTCTGTATATTTATTGTATCGAAAAATACAATTGTGGCACAAGGCCTGAAAAGGGGAGGGGTTAGGGCTGGTCTTCACTGACTATCCTATACCTAGCTAATCCGATTCATGACTCATTCACTCATTACAATTTGCCCACTCACCACAAGAACGCATCCATCACCAATCAATCCTCCTTACACCATAATACAAGTGGGGACCTACAAAACGCGCCCCATGCCATTAAAAATTTAATGATAATAAATATTATATACAAATCTCGTGATGAAGGATGAGAGGGGAGGGAGATGAACCCAATAGTAAACTAAAATATTAACATAAGTCAAATTAAACATAACAGATGTTAGTAAGGCCCGTTTATGCCGAGTTCTGTGACAATAAAATATCCGTAGACATCCCCCTATCGCATCGTTAAATAATTTGAACTGAACAAGAAATAACAATCATAAATATGAATGCTGGTCGTTATTTTAAGAAGTGGGTACAAAGAAAAATTAACAATTTCTTCCATTTAACTGACACTGCCCTTAAACACTTCTACCTTCTCGTCTTTCTTTCTTTCCTTCGTTCTTTCTTTCTTTATTTATTTCTTTATTTCATTTTCTCACTGAAACCAAGTAGCGTATGTTGTGTTTTTACGCAATCAAAACGCAATAGTTCCTTATTTATGAAATATTCGCAAGTATTCTTTCTTTTCTTCTTTCTTTCTTTCTTTCTTTCTTTCTTTCTTTCTTTCTTTCTTTCTTTTTTGCTAGCCAGATCCACGTCTTACGATCATTTCTCTTAGTAAGAAATTGAAAATAATTCAGCAGACGATGTGATTTTATTTCGGCTAAATGGATTTATGGCGATTAACTTACTCGGTTTCCGTCGTTCGATACAATGCGTCTGAAAACTGACACGTGTATCCTGGGATCAATATGTAATATCAACTCTCGGGTTGATAAACTACTTTTCATCTCTCAGTTGTGTGTCGCTATCTTTGGACAGAATGCAACTGGAAATATTACTGAGATATGACCTTCTCGCGAAACAGTTGCCCACGGCAGTACCTTTCAGTAAAGAGTGGGGACCGGTATTAATACCGATGCTTCAGCAACCGACGGTTGCGGGGGCCGGGTTATTTTGGGACATGGCCCGGGTGCACGCGCTTGATGTCCCTACAGTGAACTGACCTTGTGTCACATCCTGCTAGTGTGGGACGACGAGTAAATACATTCACTTCTTGATTTTTGCTAAGATCAAAGTGTTCTCATCAGCTTAATATAATTCTCTCTCTCTCTCCCCACTTCTTTCTTCCTTTCGTTCTTTCTTTTTCTCATTTTCACGTTGAAGCCAAGTAGTGTCTTTTCCTCTTTTTCCACAGGATGAAAACAATAACGAATAAAAGAAGCACAATTTACAATAGACACTTAAAAAACGCAATCCTATATTTGCAATATTTTATAATATAAATCTAACATTGTCAACATTTTGGTTTTTAACATATTCTAAAATTTAAAAAATAACTTTTATCTATTATTACTACAATATGAAGGTCGTAAATACGATTGTTTGAAAGTGTCCTACAAGTCAAAGTACTTGATATTTATTTCCTATTTAAATTAATATTATTATAATTATAATTGTTACTTTATAAAAACATGCTGACTCTTTTTTTCGAACATATGAAAATATATTCTATTTAAAAATTTATCTTAAAATAGAGTAAAAATTAATTAAATTAAATTTAATTAATTTAATTAAAAAAAATTGCAATGTATTTTTCAATTTATGAATGAAGATTTTGCCATTTAGCGATATCCTAAAACGGTGACTGTAAAATATAGAATCAATATCACAATTTAAAAAAATTCAGTGGATAAACTTCATTGTTCTGTACGATAATTTCTTTTCTATTTGTGAGGTTTATGGAAATTTCGCTATGCAATTTCAAAATTTAGGAAAATATTACTTTAGAGATTCAATGAACTATAATTTAAAACGAAAACTCAAAGATTTCATATATTTTTATTAGGCTGTTTGCGAATGTAACTAGTTTTAGTCGTTTGCAAATTTAAGTGCCTGATAAAAAAAAGGGTCGTTGCTAATTTTCAATATATTCACGAAAGATAAATTACAAATGTGTTTGACTAGATTTTGTTCTGATTTTTTTGCCTTCGAAGCACTTCTTGCAATGATGGTCTGTGATTTTTTTTTTCATTCGTATCATGAAATTAGCAAATAGTTTTGCGGTTTTTTTTTATTACGAACACACACACACACACACATAGACAAACACCCACATACCCACTTCTTAAAAATGGCAGCTGCTGTCGACTCGGCAACCATTTTGCCACTTCAGTGTCTGCTTTTTCGTTTATTGTTCAATCAAAGTGCAAACAACTCCAGATATTTCAGACGATTTACTTCCCTTACCTTTTTTTACTTTGCTTCATTATATATTGACGATGTTTTTTCTTCTTTATTTATATTATAATCATTATTATACTTTTATATTTGTCTTTCGTCAGTATTGGTCTGAATTTTCAGTTAGTTAAAACAATTGTGTAAACTGACTTATGTATGCATTTGACTACACATGAAAACTCACTACCCCAACAATTGTGAATTTCTAAAAAAAAAATCCGTGCTTGAAAATAAATTATTTATTAGCACTTTTTGGAATATCATTGCATATTATAAAATATGCAATGATATTCCAAAAATGATTAATTAAAATTGTAAATATTTTCATTTTTCATTCATTTAAATAAAGCTATGCATGAAGAAATATCCCGAAATAAATATGATTAAGCTTGAAAGTTATAGGAAAATTTTTTTGATAACTTCCGTGAATTTCATGTGAAAAATTATTTAGTGAAAGGACAGAATAGAAATATAAAAGAGAAATTTAAAATTTTGATTGACATTTGCTTAGGTTAAATGTATAAAACATATTTAATTATTTCCTTTTAATATTACTAACTTTATTTGCAAATTGATAGACTTTCTAATATGAAGTCTTTGGGGTTATTTCAATTTTTAAAAATAAGCAATGATTTTGTGCTTTTTCGTTGCGAAAACGCAGTTTCTGTGTTAACATTTTCAGATTGTCTTTGTAAATAAAGTGAAAACAGCCATTATTTTATATTAATAAACAATATTCTTGTCTTGCTAAAAAAATAATCTTATTTTTAAGCGTTTATTTTGAAAATTTATATTTGAAATAACGCAATATATATATATATATATATATATATATATATATATATATGTATGTATGTATATATACTTTTTCCTTTTCTTTTTAGGTAAGTCAAAAGGAATTTCTGTACGAAACTGAGAGATTTGGAACAATATGGTTGCTGTACGGCCGGACAGAATACATGAGTGAGTCATAATTTATGTTTGAATTTACCAGGATGATGTTATCTTTGCAACACATTTAAAATACTTAACTTCCCAACGCAAAGTCTTTCAGTTTCATTCTGCAAATGATAAAAGTTCGAAAACATATTTATAAATTTGAATAAAATCTTGATCGCCATGTGCACAATTTAAATCTTGTGTAATAAATATTTTTTAAATGAAGACATCTTAATATTTTGCAAATTCAACTAATTCGGAGATTTTTTTCGAAATTGTCTAATTTCTTTAAGCACTTAGGTAAGTTCAATTGCATGGGTACAGACAGGAACGGCCTTAGGGTTGCTGGCACCCCGGGCAAGCTGAACTTCGGCGCTCTTACAAGTATAATTTTTAGAATTTTCACAAGCAGAAAAACAGAAAATGTAGAATAATGAGGTTATTACAATACACAACATAATACAAACTAAACAAAACAATCATTATCTTTACCTAAAAGATTTTTTCTCGCCTTTAGATCTGCAAATCTTTTCATGGCACTTTCTACACAGATCTTCCTTATCATTTTCCATTGGCAGAATAGCCAAAGAATTTAATCTGTCTTGAGTCATGGATGACCGCAAGTATATTTTATAAGCATTGGAAGATCCCAAGAATTGACCTGGCGACAATATGGCGCCTTTGACATTGATGGCGCACAGCCCGAGTTACCAGTTCCTTGAGCCGGCCCGGGGTACAGAAAACCCTTTCGCAAATAATCAGTTTGCAATTACAAGTGTGTGTGTAAGTTTCACTTTATGCGATATTGAAGTTCGATTATTTTTATGATTATATATTTTCTCTTAATTTCTAAAAAAACTTGGTTTACTTTTCTAAATTATTTTTTTACTTTATGATTCTTGCATATTAATGCTGAGAGTTTATATTTCCTTTGCTGTTACCTTGATAACTGCATGTAGTATTTCCTTTGATTTCCCTTTCTTAAAATGAAATCCTCTTTCTACAAGGAACTGATTCCAGACAGATGCTACATAGCTATTACTACCGTCTTATCATATATCATCTTATTGTCGTATTCTTTCCCTTTTTACTACTATTTCTATTTCATTCTTTGAGTTTTGTAATCATTTCATCCGAAGCAAACCAATAAAGCTACGCAAAAGATTACTGAGTGTGATAGAATATGAGAAAAAATACATTATTACGAAGAAATAACAATGAAAACACGGGAATTAAGAAGATAGAAGATAACGAGTGGCATTGCATTTAATTTTTTAAAGATCAAAGTAGACTAGAAATCAAGTGACCTGAAAAAAATGACACAAGCGAGAAGTGTGAGAAAAGAAACTGTTAGCATTGAATTTACAGTTGCATCTAGCCATGTCATCTGTAAAATGATGACCCCTTGTAGCCAATTTAGTAATGCGTTTTAATTCATCAGTTACAATTACAATGAGAATATTTATAGAAAAAAGCATGTTTCGGCCGTGAGAAAGTGACTGAAGTCACGATGCCAGGTCAGGACTGATAACATTACAGATTCTCTTTATCAAGAATTTCTAAATACATATCAAAAGCATAAGACGAGATGTGACAGCAATAGTCAGTACATGGACAAATGGTAGACTTGTAAATAAGTAAGTTAGATTTTGGCGAGATAAATTGACTATCACGACTCAGTGAACCAACTTTCCCAACAGTAGACTAGCAATTGATTCGATATAATCTTTTCACTTCATGTCAGCGGAAAACGTTATCCGGAGAAAGTGTATTACTCTCTTTAAAAATAAATACTATTCTAAATTTCCTAGCCTTAAACCCAGGTAATCTGATAAATATATCTCTAAATATATCTAAAAGAAAAGAAATTTGTAAACCTTCAATGTTCTGTTGATGTGGAAAACGTCAAGGAAAGTATAAAAATGTTTAAACTTTTGTATTTCAGGAAACAGTTCTTTTCAGAAATTATTTTTCTTATCTACTGCTACATAGCCATTTTAGATTGACCAAAATATTGATTAAGCTCTTGCGATTGTACTTTACAACAACATATATAAACATCATTTTTGTGAAACACACGAAATCAGAAATTTCAAAGGGAAATAACTCTTACGTTCTTATTTATTTTTTATGTCTATCTCCCTTGGTTCAACGATTCATCATGTTACCTTATTATATTATATTTTGTGCATTTTCTGCTATTTTCATAAAATATTTATTTATAATTGAGTAAATGATTAAGTTTTATTAGGAATGGAACAGAATCTTGGCTAAAAATTGACTATAATTTCAATGAATGTTGAAAAACTGAAGAATCTACATTATGGGTAGAAGAAAGAAGCGCGTTTGTGAATATAGACACAATCCAGAAATATCCAAGTGTAGCTATTTCCAATTTACTAAAACTTGTACACACACACGCACACACGTGCATGTAGA